TTYYTWRSYTTKGGGGTACGRTATTAACAGGTGAATGCAGAACACGAAGACATTTTCCAGTGTATGCCAAAAGGACAACATTTGCATTTCTGCAATGATTTTTACSAAGATTTTTCTTCTAGCACTGTGAACATGCTACAGAGTCTTTTACCTTTACAGAAWTGGTGACACCATATCAAGACAACATTTTTGCAATGAGGTCCAAAGTGACCTCACAGCAARCAAGCCAGCAGTTCTGCAGAAAAGTGTATTAAAGGATTTCACCAAAAAAGGCTTCTACAAGCACAGGACATGTAACATGACTGAATAAATTAGCTCTTTACGGTGCAAGAGCAACACTAAATTCCTAGAGTGCATTTATCCCCCTGGCAATGTCCCAGCTGGGAAAAGGAACCTTTGCCCCAAGTACATTTTCCAGCCCTTGGCACAGGGATGTCCTCCACCAGCAAMACTAAAAGTCAACAAACTTTAATTAAGCTTTAAAAATACCAGCATTGGCTTTGCATAAATACCATACCTTAACTAATAAGGGAGCAAAATTCCCACAAACATGTATGCACCTAATGCGAGAACACAATAATTTCATTTAAGTTGCCCTTCTGGTCCTAATTCTACATGAGACACAAACACAAAAAACTCAAAAACTCTCTACATCATTCTAAGCCAGTTCTCTCCTTCCATCCTTCAAACACCAGAGCAGCATGCACAATGTAGGATTGAAGTTCTGAGTAGTTTTAGGCCCACAAAGTTTGATGGACACGGCACACCCATCACCTGGGGATGTGCTTCCCCCAGAACAACCCCAAAGAAGGAATGAACTTGCTTACGTGTCAATAAAGAAGAAAAACCTTTACCATTTAATGGAAGGAAGCCTAGTTTCAATTAATTTGGAGACTTCTCCACATTCTACCTTAAGTTTAGGAGGGTGCAAATGGCACTYTGCTTTAGGTTCATTCCAGAGGATCTTCTCTGGTGCTGCAGCAGAGCTACCAGAGCAGCCAGGGWGCAGAACAACCAACTGATAGTGTTGTCCTTTTAATTTCAAAATTATTAATTATTAATGCCATTTTAAATTTAGTGAATAATGTTCTGAYCCTTAACTGGAAGCTGAATGGGATCGGTTCACCTGAAAAGCAGAAAAATCAAACTTCACCGCCCCAGTTGTGAAAAAATTTTCTCCTGGTGCCTACCCTTAACAGTTTGAGTATTCACATAAAAGGAGGTGAAAGGCAAATAAAGGCAAAAACCATCAGAAAACACTCCCAGCTGTGACTGCTCAGTCTCCCATCCCCAAAGCAAGCCCAGTTCTGACTCTGTAACTCYGCAAGGCGCTGCCTGTTCATCCCCACTGGAACGCTGTCTGTCTTCACATGTATTTGCAAGGTGCCAGCCAGTGTGGTTTTCACATCTGTCCCTRGATAGTTTTATTTGTGGTAGCAGGCACAACATAAAAATGAGACAGGGCTGCCAAGGCACTCATGGRCACACTGAGACTTCCCATTTTGGGCTTGCAATAACATAGCACAGACTGGTCTGCCCTGCACGTAGCTGCTCAGAGCTCGGTGAAATGTTCAGACAAGCAGACATCCCACACACCCCACAACTTCTCCCTCATCTGCTACCAYGCAATCCCAGCAGGAACAATGACAGCAGGTTTTTATGTCACTTCTGCATCATCCAGGCTTCCCTGAGCAGTGGCAAAYCACTGAGTTCAGGATCCAAGTTCATCAAGTCTGCATTGCTGGAGCCATCAGTAAAGAACAYTGAATCATGGAATGRTTTGGGTTGGAAGGGACAATCCAAATCCAACACCCATCCCACAGACAGGGACAATTTTCCTGGTTGTTCAACTCACCAAGGCCTGGAACACYTCCAGGGTTGGAGCATTCCACAGCCTCTCTGGACARTCTGTGTAGAACCTCACCTCCCTCACAGTGAGGAATTTCTTTCCCAGGATGAAGTCCTACCCCTGACAGGGACACTGCYGGTGACCTGCTGCCTCTTGTTCTTTCAGATGTGGGGAGGAGCAAGAAACTGTGCTAAAGCCAAAAATAATTGCATGCATCAACTCTCAAAATTGCTGAGGTTCATTTTTTTCATAACTTCCCAAGCCACTGTTTCAGGCACAATCTAAACATGGAAAATCTGAGCCTCAAGATGGTGGCCCTTCAGAAGACATGTGAAGTGCACAATAATGGGTAGGAACCAAAATTATTTCGCGACTGTGTCTAAGAATGGATTCAATCAACACAAATATAATCCCATCTATAAACATTTAGTACCCAAAATGGCATAAGATCTTCTTTGGTCACCACTTGTTCCTTTTTGCTGTCCTTTTTCAGCAGCTGATTTTCTTTCCCATGTCACRACTGAGTCACCATCCCTGCAGGTATTTAAATGATGTGTAGACGTGGCAGTGAAAGTTTAGTAACATGGTTTAGTGGTGGATTTGACAGTCCTGGGTTAATGGCTGAACCTACAGATCTTTAGGATCTTTTAAACCTAAACTTTAGGATCTTTTAAACCTAAATTCTATGACTACTGAGTTCTCTCTTAAAATGAGGCAAAGAACATATTCATCTACCACTCAAAGAAATGACAGCTTGTCTGAGTCAACTACAGCCAAATTGAAAGCTGTTTAGTGCTTTGTAGGTATCTTGTTAAAATTCCATTCAAACACTTTTGATGGATCTGATTTAAGTTTGCTTTTGTTCTAAGTATATTTGCTTGCTTTTCAATACTTGACRCTTAAGAAACCCTGTCCTCTTAACTCCCCAAAATACAATGACCTAGATAAGGTACACTTTTATTTCAGCATTTTAATGAAAACCAAACCCAACAGAAACCCCACCCCCAGCTCCCTCATTAAGGGCCTGATCCAACTCCCATTAACGTCAAGAGATGATCTGCCACTGACGCACTCGAGCGCTGGCTTGGATCCCTGGATCATCAACTTTTAATTTCATCTACCAGCTATATTATAGAAACCAGAAAGGACACGAAGAGGGACTGAAAATGTAGCTGAAGTCGATTGTAGCTGCRCTCTGAGCAGCACCCTCCTATTTTAAACATCTGCAGGCTGCACAGCCCACGTTGGGAGCAGCAATGCGTGCACACACGCACACATATACGGACACTGAGTCACTGGCAGGAACAGACAGCAGAACCCACAGCTCTGAAACTCAGTCAGGAAAATACTACTTGGAACTAGCAGGAGACACATTTTGTTATAAAATCGAAGCTTTGCTGGACAAAAACTAATTTAAGGGATTGATGACATCAGAAATGCTGAAGTTGGGTAATTCGAGTGAACTGCGTTTCAACCCACGCATTCAGATATTCTTTATAAAGAAAAAGATTGTGCTTTTCGTTGGCAACCAAGATCGAAGCTACCAGGTCTCCTCCCAAGAATTAAGCAGTCACTTCACACAAGTAGAGTGTGCACAATACAACATTTTTTATGACTCATACCATGTTCAGAGACCAAATACTGTGGGATTCAATCTTWAACCAGCATCAGTAACATCAGAGTTAAAAAATACTTTAAAAATTGAGCTGGTAGAGAAAGCAACTTACAGCTATTTGTGCCACCAAAACCCAATAAATTAAAGGAACATACTTTTCATTCATAAACAAGGCAATTTAACAAGAGCTAAGTCTCTTTTAGAGCAGATAAAGCAGAACAAGATTTAATTGAAAATAGATTTGTTATATATTCTTGTCTTGACTTGGAAACAAGAGCATGAAGCAAAAATCATAAACCAGGAAGCAAAATGATMATGCAGAATTCCACTGCTTCAGCAGRGAAGAGAAAAGAGAAAAAGGRAGAGGGAAARGAAATGCTCTTCCAGGAGTTAAGATCTCTGAGCTGGGCAGTGTTTTGCAGTCCCTCTGGCTTCTCTCCTATTTCCATCCACWCTGCCAGGAAACTGCTGAAGCTCCACAAAGCTGTTACAGAGACAGGACATTCCCAGACTGCCATTGTGCCATTTGGTGGAGCACTTGCTAATTTTAGATTAGAGGAGGAACACACTGGGACAATTAGCCAAGAACCACTCCTGATTCTTGCTCCAACCCATCCTCAGACAAAACTCACACCCAAACAACAAGACTGACAGCAACCCTTCAAGCACAAACAGAAAACAGAGGCAAAGGACGATCCACCATGACTTTTTTTGGCAGAATTCTGGGGAACATGTGCCTTTCAACCTCAACAGCAAGCACTGGAAATGGAAACCCTTTGCCCCTTACACAGAAAATCCGCCTGAGATTTCAAACCAGGGACTGTTCAAGGGCAGAGGGCAGGGATGAKGGCCAGTGAGCTCTCTCAAAAAGTGCATGCCACAAAGGCTGTCCAGTTGCAGCGATAGTATTTGGTGTGAAATGGTTTGATAACACTCCAAACCATCTCCATGCCCAAGGGCAAGAGCTCTCCCACCTGTCCCTCCCGTCTGCACCACCCCACTGGGGACATGGGGACAGCAAGCAACAGATCGATCCCCTGGAGATAAAGAGGAACCCACAAATAAATGCATATTGAGCAAACACCATACCTTTAACAACACAACATCTACAGTCCTGTCCACCTTGGAGATGTCGCACAGGCTGTATCGCCTCTTGTGGCGCTCGTACATTTTGTCCAGGGAGCCGGCAGCGGAGGAGCAGAGCCCACCATGAACCCTGGGCTGCCCACGGCCCCAGAGCTCTCACATCCGTGCTCACAGGAGTCCCCGTGGCTCAGCACAGCAGCCTGCCCGAGCTTCTGAACAGGAAAAAGAAAATCCCAGCGCTGCGCCCGGCTGATAAAAGTCTTCTTGCTTTTACAGGCAATTCAGGAACTTATAGCAAACAAAAGATATTTGAAGACAGCTTTATATATATAGGATTTTTTTTGTGACTGCCTTCCTGTTATAATAATTACAAAAAAAAAAATGTTTTCCAGGCAACTTTGGTATCCAAAAAGCACCAGAATGAAAATCCTGCCCGAAAAGAGAACAAAAGCCAGATGTGTGCAGCTGGAACACTGACGCTCCGAGCAGAAAGGCAGAAGGTAGGCTCAGCCACGACGGGTCTAAATCAAAAAAAAAAAAAAAACAAAAGCAAAACAAAACCCCAATCACCGTATCCAGCGCAAAAACTGTCACCAAAGTGTTTTGTTTTTCACGCCCTCACGCACTGAAAGAAACAACAAAAAAAGTACTTTCCTCCTTCCGAGTCAGTTCACTGTTCACCAGGCAGGARGGCTCGGGCTTGCCTTAAGTTTAAATTTCTAATGACAGCACTGGGCAAAAGGAAAGAAAATAATGAAATAAAGCCACTCCCTCTTGATTTGGATTGGGACGTCATGACTTGCCTTTTTAGTCCTGCACCAGTGTTCTCCCAGCTTTCAAATGTACTTTGCAGTTGTGGGAGCATGATTCAGAGAGAGGGGAAAAAAAAAAAAAAGGAGGGAGTGGGGGAAGAAAAAGCAGCAGCTTTTCCTTGCCAGCCTCTTCCACTTCTGGCTGCAGGCACTTGGTGTGTTTGAACAGCCCAAAATGAGACTGAGAGTACAGGGACATGTTTTTTGAGAGGTAAAAAGACTCTTCCTACTCCCCCAGGCCAGGTGAATGAAAGGCAGTTTCAAGGTTAATGCTTTCCTAAACCAGGAATGGAAACTTATGATTTAATCAGTGCACATGGAAAAAAAAAAAAAAAAAAAAAAAAAAAAAAAAAAAAAAAAAAAAAAATAAAAAAAAAAAAAAAAAAAAAAAAAAAAAAAAAAAGGAAATCAGTCATTTACTTTATTCTTGGTTTGTCTGCAGCACAGAGCAAAGATCTCGGCAACTTGTTGTCCAGAAAATACAATCTTCCCTTTTTCAATTTTTGCCTGAAAGGCAGAGCTTTTTTTTTCTTGGAGAAAAAACCCCAACTCTGAAGTTTTTCAYCTTTCTAATGCCGGAGCCAGCCCGAGTCTCTCTGCTCTCAATAGCTCATTCACATCAGCTGGGCCCTGCATGCTCACTGCCACATGGTTTCCTGTTTTCAAACTGCCCCCTTGCAGCCCCCTCCGCTTTCCACCCCACCCTGACCTCTCCAGGGATGAAATCTTTCCATACTTCTCTGGCGTTAGACATTCCCTCATTCACCAATTCAAAAGGGAATGGGGGCGGTTCAAAATGAAAGGAAAAAAATAAAAAAGAGAGAGAAGAAAAAGGGAAGCGGGGTTTTTGGTGACTGGGAGTTCGTAGCGAGCAGAACTTGCTGCTTTGCTAGACAGAAAAGCTGAAAAKGCAGCAATTTTTAATCCCATGTTGCAAAGCAGGAAAGGCAGAATTGGAAGCAGCGAGGTTTAATTGCCGATCTCCAACATCCACCCTCGGCAGCGCCGGGAGAAGCGGCCAACCTCCCTCTGCTGGGCTTTGCTCCGCTCCCGGAGCTCAGCTAGTGGAGCCGAGGTCTTTTCATCCAGTCCTGTAGGGTGCTCCCAGTTCCCTGATTGTTAAAGGAGATTTGTAACCACCAGCTCAAACTCTGGCAGAGGTGCCCCAAATGCTGCAGCCTATAGGAATGGATAAAACGCAAGTTCTCRGCATTTGAACGCAAGATGAGGCTTCCAGAGGAGATCTAAACCCATTTGCTGCAAGCGAGCACTGCAGATTTTCTCCTCCCAGTGCTACCCAATATTCTCACTGCCCAAAGTAACACAGGAACCGACTGCTCTCCGTGCCTGTTTGGGAAAAYACCAAGAATCGGGAGTTCATGGAACCACCAGGTCCTGCTGTGAGCCCCCAACCCGTACAGGATTACACCAAAGCACAGATTATACCACCCTACAGATCCAGCAGGCTCTGTGAGCAAGCAAAGGGCATTTTTTTCCTGAGTCCTGGTGCCACAGTGGCCAGCCCCAATGCAAAGCACTGCTCAAACATTGCACCTGAGCGTGTCTCAGATGGGCTGCTCCMGGTGAGGGACACGGGTAACTCTTACCTAGTCAGTGCCAGGGGTCTCCCCACACTGCCCTCACATCCCAAAGCTTCATCTCCACCACACCACCAGCTGAACTCAGGAGAATTCCTCCACGAGGCTGTCTTACAGCTACAATCCCTGGCTCGAGGTCTCAGCCAATGATTCTTGTCTCCAACAATGAGCAGAGCTTCTGCTTTCAGTATTAGGACATGCACAATGTGGTCGTACTTTGGGGACTTTCTGGAGCCACCAGTTTTCTCCACAAGTAATGAATCCCAGCAATCATGTGCCCATCGAGATGAGGAATCAGAAATGGCTGTGACAGCATTCCAGCCCTTCAAACACTACCATAAAAGGCAGGGATTTCCTCAAATCTAAATTTACAAGACAGAAACCCATAAACAAAGTATGTGAATTTAGTTCAGGTGTAAGAATTTGCAACTGTCACAGTGCCTTAATGATGCTCTAATATTCCATCACGGAGCATCTTTTTTTTTCCCAACTGATAGAGCAGATAAATTCATTTACAAATCAATTTAATTACAGCTGCTGGCATAATCAGCCAAGATTTACCCAAACAACAACTGCACAGCTYTGCTCAGATGCTCCATTTAAAGCCTTTCACCCTTGATCCACAGAGYTCCTCTGGCCAGCAGAGAGAGATGTCCAGCTGCAGGGCTCAAGCAGTGCCCACCATGCCCAGGAGATTGCCAGGTGAGCATCACTAAATGTGACAATAAATCTTCTACACGTCACCTCACCCTTCCTGCAGGTGAGGGCAAATGAGAAACATCCCCAGCCAAAGCAGATGGGAGACACTGGGAGATGTGCAGCTTTCAGAGCAGGAGGCCAATTTTCCTGAGCTGTGCACAAGCATTTTGAGATGGCCAAAAGCCACAAGCAACCCAGTGGGTGTTTTCACAGGCCARCAGGGAACAGAAAGCTCAGGTGGAAGGTGCAGAAAGGTGGAGAGAGCCAGCCAGGGAAGTTACCAGACCAGTGCCAGGCTGGGGGCTCTGGGCACAGGATGTGTCCCAGGATTGGTGCACATCCCACTCCACAGCCTGCTTGTGAATCAAGATGATGGCCTGCCTTCCTCCATAATTACGTGTCTTGATCAAGTAAAGGTTGACCATTGAGCTCCTTGACTCCCCTACACCTTCAGCCACAGAGAGAAAGAATCGACACAAACAAACCAAGAAAAARTAACCCCTTCTCTCTCCCTTCCCTTCCCCTTTTCTTTTTAAATTTAAGCCTCCACATCCCTAATTAGTTCCAAGGGTTTTTGYCTGTGGTTATGTTCCTGACTCACAGCCAACATCAGGAGGCCAGTGACARCTACAGACACCCGAAGTCCATCTCATCTTCATTTCCAGACTTCACTGTTGAAGGCGGGGGGGAAAACATAACATAAACAAATAGAAGATAATGCGCCAGACACACTCYCCCTTGGGAGACCATCACTCTCTTCCCACATTAGGTGGGGCTTTTGCTGCATTGCTTCAGGCCAGAAATCTTGCCTTGCACACAGCCTGACATCCACACAGGCCCGTGGGGCAGACACAGAGCAGAACAAAGGTTTCCAGTCTCTTTTCTCCAGCTATTTAAGGCAGTCCTTGAATGCCATGAAAGTCTTTAGACAGTACACAGTATTTATGCYCTGAAACACAGTGAAACGGACAATCAGAAGATAAAGATTAAATTAAAGAAACCCTGCTCTTGCAAGTAAATAATTCTCTCTTTTTTTGGCGAGCTGCTGAAAACGGAGCGGAGGCGCGAGCCACCGGCTGCTGATGCGACAGTTCTGGGCTCCTTATTGGAAACATCTGGAAGCTCTGAGCCGCTTTGTGCAGACAGGAGTTTGAAACTATCCAATGGTTTCATATCCAAACCCAAGCCCTGAGCTGTGGATTTCATGGGAAGGGGAAAAAAAAAAAAAAAAAAAGGCACTTGATCACACCATATGATCTGTAACTCATCCAGATAAAACTCCTCCTCCTCCTCCTCCACCCACTACCAGACCTCTTAACGACAAGGAAATCATGGTTATCCTGAAACAGACTGAACTATTGTTATCTGTTTCAAATTACTTTTGCCATATCGTTATGAAACACTGCAATGATGCAATCTGCAGAAATACTCAGGCATATTCACTGCTTTAACCGCGGCTCTGATAGGAACTAATGGAGCAGTAGATGAAAGGAAAAAATTCCCTGTTTTAAGCAAGGCAAAACCCACTTTTGGGCACTAAAATGAGGTGATAACAAATTCATCAGAGAGTAAAAGAGAAAAATTTTTCAATTGCTCTTTTCGTAAAAGAAAGCAGCTCTTTGGAAAGGTTTTTTTAAAATTGTACATTTCTGGCACTTGCAAGGATAGACAAAACAAATGGCTTTTTTCCTAAAACTAAATAAGGCAAAGGAAATCTGCTCTCTAATGCTGCAAAGCCTGCAAGAGGAACACGTCCAATGTGGAAGGGAGAGCACAGCCATGGTGTCTGCRGGAGGGAGATCAGCACCCACGTGAGAGCAGATGGGCCAGACATGAAAATGTGCATTTTGAAGCAGTTCACAGGGAGCACTCACACCACAGACCTTAGTCAAGAGTCCTGGATGGTAGGAAAGGCATTTCTCGTGTTTGCAGGAGCACTGCAACACTGAGAGGAGCTCTGTGGCTGACCCAGTCCCACTGTGCCTGTCTGTGTCCCTGTGGGGTGGTGGCACTTTGGGCCAGATCTGAATCCCTCTGGCCATGGCACGACCCAGCAGGGTCCCACCAAGCCACAAACGGCTCCAAAAGTGGTTGTGATTTTGAATTCCATTGTGAAGTAGGGTAGGGAAACAGAAGGAATCACAGAGASAGATATGGACAGTCCCCCACAACCAGTGGCAAATCTGTGCAACTCTAAGGGGGGAGATCAGTGATGCAGGAAACCTTCACAGTCCTAAAAAAACACC